CTGGGGACGGCGGGTTCTCGGGGTTCCTGGAGCACTGTGTCGTCCTCAGCAAGATCGTTACATCTGCCAGGGCTTGCCTCAAGAGCCTGGCCTGGCCTCTTCCTAGAATGCACGGAACCGGATCCATGAACTGGAGGGCCTCTTCGGAGCCCCTCCTTTGCCGGCCGAGAGGCATGCCTGCAGTCTGCTGAGCCACACACTGGTTTCATGATGGAACCACTGGCCCAGGCCAGCTCGACCACCTGTGAAGGGTCCTGCTGTGCTCATCCTGGGGACTTGGTCACAGCAGCTACTGGCCAAGATCAGATGTCGCTGAGGGGCTGCTCACCACCACCCTCGTTCTCCAGCGTCAGGGAAGTGTTTTAACATGTTGATGTTTTCGACTTGATCTTGTGGTCTCTTTCTTACCTGTGTGCCATGGGGGAAAAAAGCCATCCACAATTGGGCTTCACCACTGCTGCTGCTTTTGGGGAGAGAGGAAGTTGATGGAGTCAGGCCTTTGCTCTTGGGTGGGGCACAGGCAGGTAGCTTGGTGGGGGCCACGCAGTTCTGGGCACCTTCAGCCAGTGGTAGAGTCTCCTTTTTCCTATCACAGTAATTCTGCTACCCCTTCTTTTTCGCCTTCTTCCTCCTCTGCCCTGTCTTCTAGCCCACGCGCTCTTAGCCAGACTTCAGACTCGGCATACATGGCGTCCCGAGTGTTGTCTGTGTGTGAGTGATGATCAAACCCAGCTGGTGGCACCTTCCCCGGGCCGTGTTTGCCATTTCCTGGGAATGAATGTGAGCTCAGGGCTCATGTCCTTGTATGGTGAATTCTATATAACGCCCCTCCCTCTCTCACAGCTAGGAGGCTTCATCACTGCTAGGCCAGCTGGAGAACTCCCCAGAGCCCAGGAGACACTGTTTCCTCTACTGCCCCCGAATACAGGGCACCAGCACTCTGAAGCAAGGGCCATTAGGTGCTCCTACCTGGCGCCTGGCGTGGTCCTGGGGTGCCTGGGATCTTCTGACTTTCAGTCTAGTACCTGGAAAGGGCCATCAGACACTCCTTCCTGGCACCTGGCATGGTCCTGGGGTGGCCTGGGATCTTTCCATCTAGCACATGGAAAGGGCCATCAGACACGTACCTGACGCCTGGCGCAGTCCTGGGGTGTCTGGGATCGTCTAGCACGTGGAAAGGGTCATCAGACACTCCTACCTGGCACCTGGTGTGGTCCTGGGGTGCCTGGGATCTTCTGACTTCCCATCTAGCACGTGGAAAGGGCCGTCGGACACTCCTACCTGGCGCAGTCCTGGGGTGTCTGGGATCTTCTGTCTTTCCGTTTAGCACGTGGGACCCAGTACAAGAAATGCCACAAGCTGGGGGGAGGGGGCACTGTCAGTGGCTGTCGGTTCAGTAAGCCAGCCATTGCCCACACTGCCTATTCACTCGAGAGGAGATGAATCGTTTCCTGTTTTAGATGGCTGTGGAGCCAGTATGAGCTCATAAACCAAACAGCAATTTTCAGAGACATCTGTTCCTGATCTTCAGAATAAACTCAGTGTCCAGTTGCTGAGGCTGGTGGGAGCCTACATCAACGCCACTGCTCTCCCAAAGCGGGGGGGCCTCGGGGATCCAGCTTCTCTGACAAGCAGGTTAGACCAGAGGCCGCCTCAAAGATATACCACGTGGAAGGAAGATGTAGAGAAGTGATCACAGAAAATAAGCAGCTTCCTCTTCAATGGACAACCTTGTGCCATGGCCAGGTCCCGGGTGGACATTTTCACTTTGCGAAAGGAACTGTACACAAATGCCCAAGGCGAGACCACAAGTGGCCTGGATGCTGGCTGATCGGGGGCCTTGTGAGGAGCAAGGAGAGGCCTCGAGCCCACCTCCCCCAGCTCTGCCTCAGCCCCCATGGCCACAGGGAGGCTCAAGGGGAGTGAACTAGGTAAACATGCTTGGAAACTCACATCTGGATGCAGCTGGAAGAGTTAAATATTTAGATTCGTGGCTTCCCCGGACCACGGCGAACACAAACATCCACACCGCAGGGCTGAGTTTTGTGCAAATGTTGGGGCTTTGCATTTTTTTATTAACATTTTCCTTTCACATGGTTTACATCAATTTATAATCTACATAAGTTGAAACAGAATGTAGACAAAAAAATATATCCTTGCCAACTTATTAAAGTCAGATATTAACGAAGGGTCCCATCCCACCTGTGTATTGGCAGGAACTGGCAGCCATCGGCCACTGCCCCTCAAGGACAAGCCAGCCTGGGAGTCCTGCGGCCTGACCCCGGCTGGCACAGCCCACCCTGTGGGGCACAGTGGCCGAGGTTCTGGGCTGCACAGGCCCCGTGTCACAGGAGAACCCGCTGGGGACTTCCGTGGTGCAGTTCAGGCCAGGTCTGGCACCTGACCCCCCCACTCTGGGTGGGATTATAAATAGGAGCCTTTCATGTTTCTCAGCCCATCCAGCCTTCTCACCGCCCGTTCTCACACTGCCTCAGCAAGCCTGGGGCTGGGGGGCTCCCCGGTGCCGAGACCTGAACAGGCCTTGTTTGGGAGGTGAGAGGTGCCCAGGCTGGGCTGGGACTCGCTCTGCCCCTTCCTGTCAATCGCTTTGGAAGCAATGGGGAGTTTTCTGTGCCCCACACTGACACTCGGGAATGGCCAGGCGCTCGCCACACACACTGACCCCTGGATGCCATGCAGCGACCTCAGGGACGTCCAGGCGCTTGGTCTTTAGACTCGCCACACACACTGACACCTGGATGCCATGCAGGGACCTCAGGGACATCCAGGTGCTCAGTCTTTAGACTCGCCACACACACTGACACCTGGATGCCATGCAGGGACCTCGGGGACATCCAGGCGCTCGGTCTTCAGACTCACTAAACACGACACTCGGGAACGGCCAGTCTTTCTTTACACTCGCCCCACATGACGCTCGGATGCCACATACTGACACTCGGGAATGGCCAGGCACTGGGTCTTTAGACTCGCCACACACACAGACATCTGGATGCCACGCAGGGACCTCAGGGATGTCCAGGTGCTGGGTCTTTAGACTCGCCCCACACCAACACTGAGGAACAGCCAGACACTCGGTCTTTCTTGAGACTCCCCACACACGACACTCGGGAACAGCCAGGCACTGGTGTCTTAGCCTCAGGTGGCACTCTTTTTCCTTCGCCACCTGTCCAGGGAGCACGGGCTCCTGGCTAAGCTGCTCACAGGCAGCTGGCTGGTATTTCCTCCTCCTCTCCTCCGTGCACGGCATATTTACTGTTCTGCCCAAGGCCAGAGGATTGAACGGGTTCAGAAAGGGCCCTGCCCCACTGAGCCAGCACCACAGCGCTGGGCCGGCACACCCTTCCTGACGATAGCCCTCAGCACAGCAGTGGGAACCACTCCCCAATCCTGAGGCCCAGAAACGACTCTGCCGGAGAAGAGCTGTACCTACAGCGACAGCTCAGGTGCCTGCAGCTGTCTGCTCTCCAGGCTGACGGCCCGAGGCTGGCAGCGGCAGCCTGTGGGAACACGTCTCGCTCCTTCCTAGTACTGAGCAGTGCGTCTCCAAGTTGGGAACGGAAGCTGTGGGTCCCTACTCTGCCGGACAGTGCCAACGGGAGGCCTCAGCAAACCCTGCCCGAAAGGCGGGCAGCCGATTCCTCACTCTACCCCCAGCTTCTGGAGTTCCCAGCGTGGACCCAGAAGGCTGCGTCCCGAGGCCGGGGCGGCACCCGAGGGCTGGCCACCATGGGCCTGTGCCTTCCCTTCCCAGGCCCTGGAGCACCCGTGGCAGTGCTCAGCTGTGGAGAGTGTGTAAAATCTAAGGCAAGACTGCCACGAGGTCCTGCGGTGCCAGGGAGTGCCTGGCTGCAGCCTGCCTGCCTGGACACCTGCTTCAGCCACATCCGTCACCCTCCAGGAAGCCTTGCTCCACTTGAAAAGCCCCCATAACTCGCTGCTAAGAGCTGCTCACCCAAGACTCGGGACTCCCAGTGCTGTGTTTCCTCAGCAGCCTGACTCTGCCTCCGCCCCACTCTGTCCTGACCCTCCGGCTATCCCAATAGCAGGTCCCTTGTGAGTCTTGACACTCCAAGGAAATAGAACACCCGGGAGGGGAACTGAGAAGCAGAAGACAGTCCGAGATGCCTCACGGGCAGCCAGGACGCAGAAGAGTTA